TCAGCCAATAAAATAAAGCAAATTAGTGGGGGAAAAGACTTTATTCTTTGTGTTTAATAAACATACCAATATGGCAATGTATTGTGGTAACTAATATTTTTAGTTGGCTCTATCTTATCAAGAAATTCATCTATGTGAACACAAACTTACTATAACTTTGGTAACATAACAAATTTCACTTTGTTTTTTCAATGGAGGTTCTTCACTGGTGTTACACTAAAACAGAAGCAAGAAACCACGAAAGGAGAGTGAACCGATTACTCTTCTTTTAAATTAGATAGGAATCTAGAATTGTTGATATCTCTACTTAATTCCTCAAAAAATGCAAGAATTAGAGTTAACTACGTTCTAGGACACATCAGTAGGAAAAGTTTATCCAAGACCCACATCTCTATACTTCAATTTCATTTCAATTTTAATAGCATTCCATTCACGATTTCAATTGCCTACGACTCAATAATGAGAAAATATCAAATATTTTGCACCAATTCCTTTGTCAAAAGCTATTCTCCTAGCTTCCAGAACTGAGTGTAACTCATAATTTCATATTTGAATACAAGCCCCAGATTATTTTTACCACTTACTGCATTTCTGTGAATGTTAAAGGTTCATGTGCCAAAAGTATGGTAAGAATTTAAAATAAAAAGGGTAAAATAAATAAATTATCAATAGTAAAAAGCTTTAAACGATTCCAAAACAATGATTCAGTTTTCACATTCCAAATAAACAGTAGAGATTAAAGATGAAAATAACAAGAAACTCAATCGAAGTTTGTAAACCCTAAACAGAGTGATAACATTATGCATCACTGGTGAATGACTTATCACCAGAAATCCAATGAAACATACTAACCCTTATTAAGAAGTACATTCCGTCCATGATAAGCGTCGACTTTTTATGCTTTCTTATGCCATGTATGTTGAAGCAGCCAAGGTATGTGATATTTTGCATCCCTAAGAACAAAATAAACTAAATAAGTTTGTAACTTATATATTTGATAAAGTTTAAATGAACCAATACCGCCCCCTAAACCACCTCCATCACCAAACCCTCCGACTCCTGAAATCGGATGATCCAAGGAGAATGTTTTCTCATCATTGAAAGAACCCTTTGAGCCAACAAGATTTCTTGCGGTGCTGGTGTAAGCAGAATACCAATAACCAAGAGAACAAACTTGGAAGACATCTCAATTTGTGAGTGAAAGATAGGTCTTGACTCTTGGTTTATATAATGCAATAAATCAAGAATTATTGTAGTGGACAACTAAGAGAGGGATTTAATTTCCCCATTCCTTCATCTGTAAACCGCTCTCTAATTGATAACGTAAGAATTTATGTGGCTTATGTAATTTATTAAGAAAACTTTAACATTAATGAAATCTTAATTGACGTAGTTTAGTGAAGTTAATGAATTACATAAGCCACATAAATTCTTACGTTATCTTAAGAAAACTTTAACATTAATGAAATCTTAATTGACGTAGTTTAGTGAAGTTAATGAATTGTTTAAAATTAATGACTTTCCATTTAATAAATGCATGTGATAGATATGCATGTCCATCTTTTCATCTCTTAGGGTCGTTTCAGTGGAGTTCTTGATCATATAACAAAATTCTTGAAAAATCTTGAGTATTTTAGTTCCAGTGTTAATTATAGAAAGTATTTATATGGTGGCCCTGAGTACAGGTGAAGCAGGCGATTGCCTAAGGCCCCATTTCGGTGAGGGTCCAAAATTATGTAAAGTTAATTGGCTGGTCGAAAAAAAATGAAAAGTCTATTTATGAAATTCTGTAATATAGAAGTATCATATACAAACATAAGAAACTAATAAAGCATTTTGAAAAAAATGGAAATTATATTTTAGGAGTTGTTTGAGCCCCATTTTTCTAAAAAAAAAAAAATCATTTTGAAATAGTGTTACGATGGAGAATGTTTGGTTCAAAAATAAGAAAAAAATTTGGATTTACGTGTAATATTATTTTATTAAAAAATGTATGGTTGAAATGGTGTCAAATTATTGTTGAAAAATGTATTTTGATGAAAAAATAGGCCTCAAACAATAGCTTAATCTCCATCAAACAGGGGCTAAAACTCTATACAAAATAACTCAAAATATAGGGCCCCAATTTGAAATTGGCATAAGGCCCCCAAAATATGAGGGCCGGCCCTGATTATTTATTACAATACTTTTAACGTTGGAAATAGAAAAGGCCATTCTAACCTAATTTTTTGTAGCATTCGGATTACAAAATGACCCTGTCGTAGCGACTGCGACTGGGTGGTCCGTTTGTTTCAGGCACCACATCTGTATAAGTACGACCAATCAAGCCCTTACATTGAATAAACCATTCAAACTTTCTTCCGATCGAGACGATAGATCATCATATGGTTGATGTTATTACCAGACAAAGGGTTAAAAGAGGACTCCTTCATAATTTGCGGACCCTAAAAAGTGGTGCCTGCTACAAAACTTGGGTTTAAATCCAGGGCCGAGGTATGAATTTCATGGGGCCCATAGCATAACAATCAAGGCCCAAGGTTTTGCCAACACCTTGGCCTGTTAACAGGCCTGTCATTGGCAGTGTCCTAAAAGTCGTAATGCTTGGCAATGCGTAGAGGCCAAGGTATGGGCAATGCGAGCTTAGGCGAGGTTTAGGCGTAAAAAAGCGTAAAAATGCGTTTTCTTATTTCAATATTATTTTAATTTTTAATAAATCAAAAAAAATTTAATAATTAAAAATAATACTTACTAAACATTTAAAACAGATTTATAGGAATGTTACACATTTTTTTCAAAATTTTCAATAAAAAGATAAATTTCAAATTAAAATACAAATTAGTAAATATATAGTATAGGAACTTAAATCTTATCTAACTCTTTATTGAACTCCAATTCAATATCTCTTCTTCATTAAATTCGTCCTCCATGTCTTCCAATACAATTGGTTGTTTTAAATTAGGGCAAAATGAAGAAATTAGCCATTGATAATTTTTTAACACCACAAAATTAAAAAATAATTAAATTAAAAAAGGATGATAATGCTCGCCGATGCGCGCAGTCAGCGGAAATTGTTGACTACCAATTAAGGCACCAAGCCACTTGGCTTGGTGTTTTGGCTGAACATCAGCCTTTTAGAACACTGGTCATTAGCCCTGTTTGATTGGCAAAACTTCTAAAAAGTTTGAATTTTCTGAGTTAGCATTGGAAATATTTCCATATTTCTCGCAGCGAGCCTGACTTGGAACCCTAGCTAGTTTATTCTTATTAGTATGTCTCCACCACTCTTTATGCCAAGAGGTATAGACAGAATCAAATTATGATTAGCGGGACTGAAAAAATTAGTGACTTCTCTTTTTAATTGTTTGACATATTGAAATACGTCTGTCTTTTGTATAACAGATGCCTCATTAATTTCATCCTCAATTTATTCAAAGATATTATACTAGCCAACAGTACGATAATAAGAATTAAATAAAGCATTTTTGGGCTTAAGTACATCTAGAAACACTGTAGAAATTCAAAAATCTACATGTGTTTGGGAATGAAGTTCAAGTGGTTGAAGCGATGGCAAACGAAGATAGCAAACCAATATAAAGATGAAGTGGAGGAGAGAATTGGGATCAAAAAGAGTAAAAATTACTCAAGAAAGAAGATAAAAAAAAAAAAAATAAAACCTAAAGTATGATGGGTAGAAGTTGTACTAGAATATCGCTTTTCGCTCAAATAAACAAACTTTCATAAATCTAATAACATATATTTCATACAATAAAGTTATTTTCTCTCAACAACACTCTCATACAAACCTTACAATTTCTCTTCTACCCAATAGTTT